ACTCATGCTGTTGGCATCATACTGCCTTGCAAACCAGCCATCCAACCAACTAAGCTAACTGGCCATGAAGGCAGAGTGATTGGCGAGGAGATCTACTTCCTTCACTGATATATTACAGGGGGATGGTAGCTCCTGTTTGTGTTTGGAAATTGTCTCGACACAAAACATGCTGCCAATGTGGATAATTGCTCACATGGGCAATAGTGAACCTCAGCAAGGAGATGTGTAGCTGTTTGATCAATAGCACGAGGCTAAGGCTAACTAGACCAAGATTCTGTTGATTTACTAGGGTAAGAGCAAGACATGAAGATGGATTTTCTGGATTGTCACCTAGTTTCTCAGAAGTACATACGGAAAATGCAAATGACACAGTCTGCCTACACACACACACACACACACACACACGAACCAACACACACGCAAACACACACACGGTCTGCGTATACACACAGAGTCTGCCCTTGGCTTTTCCTTCCATTCCACAGAGGTGTCTGAGTCTGCAGGCTTAATTTTGCTTACCATTCACCATCGTCTCTCTTACATGGCCCTCTTCACAAACAGTGTCATTCCCACCTATTCAAAGGGCATCATATGGCTTCCTCCAAGTACCTATGGTCTCAGCAGAGTGGCTCCTGATAGTACTGGACACAGGGAGGGCACCCCAATATCCAAGAGGGGGCTGTGGTTTCAGTGTGTGCCAAACTGACCACAATGTTTCTATCCACACTGGCCATAGCTGTAGGCAAAACCTCAAAGAAATCAACCCTTGCAATTATATACGCAAGTGTTAAATGCTCAGGACGAAGGACACAGACTGAATACCTGTCGACAACGGGCAGAGTGTTTACAGTTTAATACAGCTCCGTGTGTTGCAACAGTGACTACATTTCAAAAGGACCTCACTGGCTGTAAAGCATTTTAAGCTGTCCTGAAGTCACGAGAAGCAATGTATAAATGCAGGATTTGTTTCATACAAAGGTCTATCTGTTTTCACGTGTCTTAGGAATGCTGCAGAGAGGTTTTCCTGGAATTATTCCTGAAATGAGGAATTTCAGTGAGCTGGAGACAAGCTGGGACAGTTTTCCTTGAAGCAGAGGGGGCTCAGGATGACTTAGTAGAGGTGTTTAAATCATGTAGGCTTCTCCTAGAGTAAATGGGGAGGAACTGTTCCAAGTGGCAGGAGAAGACACAATTTTGGGATAATTGGCAAAAGAACCGGACAAAAGTTACGATATTGTTTTTCATGGCAAGTTATTGTGACCTGGTGTGCAAAGCCTGAAAAGATGGTAGTAATTTCAAAAGGGAATTAAACACATTCTTGTAAAGGGAACATTTACAGGGTTATGGAGAAAGAACAGAGGAGAGGAAATGATTGAAGACTTAATTCAAATAGCTGGCAAGGGTGTGTTGGCCTTTTGGGCTGTACCATTCTGTGATTCATTCTAATAGATTTATTGCAGAACTTAAGTGTGTAAACCAGTGTTAAAGTCAAAAAAATACAGGAGAAGACCATATGTTGAGAGGCAGTGTGGAAATTGCCACATTGTTACCTAAAGTCCATGTGAAGCCTGAGCCAGTTGAAGTGGAACTAGTCTCAAAGTGGACCCCATTAAACCAGAAAATCCTTGGACCTACCTCAGGTCAGAATCTTGAAAAGTTTCATTGCGTCTGGATCTGTTGAGGGAACCTCACCTCAGTCCCCACTCGCGATCCATGTAGATGTTTAAAAGTCCCAGGAAAGAGGAGGGACATAGAGTTTAACTTAAGGGAGTGTGGAAAGAAATATGTAACAAGTGAATGCTTCTTCATGAACAATATGCAAGGACCAGGTGAATTTCAGCTACAATACTCCCCATTGCTTATTAGTTTATCCGTATTCCCTGAAGTAGAATTACCTTTCAAATCTGACACACCGGTGGTTGGCTAACCCTGTGCACAATTGACAGGCATGTTCCAACAACTGCTAAATTCATCAGGCACAATATTTTGGCCAACACAGGCATTTGCACAAACCAGGCATCGGGCTGCAAGCTTCTGTCCATTAGTTACATCATTTCTTGGTTAATTAGGGACATTAAGGCTGATGAATCCTCCACCAACACTACACTGTAGGAAATGTAGTCAAAACGAGGGCAGGAGGAGCACGTCCTGGGTCTGGCACAATTGGGGCTCACTGGAGAGGGTTTAACAGAAACAAAAAGGCTCAGAAAAGTTAGTGAGAGCCTCAGAGAAACTGTGAGTATCCTCTCAGCCCCACTAAAGTATTTTGTTTAACACCAGAGTGTTTGGAGATAGTTCAAAGACAAGCCGTGAAGCATTGGTGGCAGAATAGCAATGTTTCCATGTCTTTGAGTTGAGCTGCTCCTTGTTCTAAAGCAGAAGGAGCTGATGAAATAGATCAGCAAGTGGCTGAAAGGGAAAAGTCTGCATTAGATATGAAGCATTGATTGATCCCTGTACAGACAGCACCTGAGAATGGGGCATCAGATCTACGAGAGACCACAGCTGTCCCATGCATCATTAGTCAGCTACACAGCTGATGAGTAGCATGTTACAATGACAGCACAAAGACTGCAGGCACAGCAGTCACTTAGCAGATGTCCTGCAGTTATCAGAGATCAGTCTGTCAAACAGAAAGCTCTTCATATTTCCGTACCAAAGTTCACAAATGGTTCACATTTTCTTCACCGTAACCAACTGAACTGAATTTAAGAGATAGTAGGAACTGCAGATGCTGGAGAATCTGAGATAACAGGGTATAGAGCTGGATGAACACAGCAGGCCAAGCAGCATCAGAGGAGCAGGAGACTGAATTTAAGCCAGTTTTACATGCACCTTTTTTACCCCTCCTTACAGTGATAGAATCACAGAGATATACAGCATGGAAACAGACCCTTCAGTCCAACTCGTCCATGCCAATCAGATATCCTAAATTAATCTAGCCCCTTTTGCCAGCATTTGGCTCATATCCCTTTAAACCCTTTCTATTCATGTACCCATCCAGATGCCTGTTAAATGTTGTAATTGTACCAGCCTCCAGCACTTCCTCTGGCAGCTCATTCTATACACGCACCACTCTCTGTAGGAAAAAGTTGCCCCTCAGGTCCATTTTAAATCTTTCCCCTCGCACCTTAAACTTATGCCCTCTAGCTTTAGACTCCACTACCTTGGGAAAAAGACCTTGGCTATTCACCCTATGCTTCTGGAATAATAGGAATTTCTTTGGAAGGAATGGGGAAAGGAATATGTAAGGAAGTGCTGGAAGGATTAGCATACAGCTTACCAGCCTCACAGTGAAACATGTTTATGAACACTTCTAAATCCACCATGTCCTAAAGTAGGACTTGAACACAGAGCTGGTAGCTCAGAAACAGAGCTGCTGCCTTCTGCAGCACAAGACTTACACTGAGACAGGCTGCGGGGAGGGTGGATTAATCCCACTGTGCTATATTAATGGAGAACAGTGATAGTTCAGAACTTGCAGGTCCCTCCCTGTTCAACATCAAGTGCCTCTTTCTCCCTGCCTGGTGATCAAGCACCACAAAAAGATCACCACTGACACCCTCGTACTCCTTAAGCCCACGAGTATCCACACAGAGTTACTTTTGAGATCAATATTTTCCAGTGGACAGTACTGCCGAAGGGTCCTGCTGAGCCAGTTACTACCGTTCAACCATCCGCTACAGGAAGCTCCAGATTACCATTGGTCCCTCACTGCTGGGAGGTTTGGGGTGTCAGGGTAAGGGGAGAGAAGATAAGCATGGGACAACAGTTGCGATCCACGATGTAGTAGAAAAGGAGTATAATACCTGAGCATTCCCAACCCCCTCATCCCCCACACACATTTTAAATGAAGAACAAGCTTGCATTAATATTGAACCTATTGAAATATACACACAGTGGCTTCTAGGACTGAATATTTTGTTGTGGAACTTCAGAGGACGAGTTCTGTCCTCCATTTTTCTTAAATTTCCCACCCTCTTCCGGCTGCATCTTGTTTGTTTCTTGTTGGCTTTGTTGATCCATTTTCTCCTTTTTTTATAGCTAATATTTACACCTAGTTTACATCTCTATCATTCTTTTACCATCATTATTGTCTTTTGTTCTGGGCATGCTCTATTTGCTTCTCCTTCCCCTCTGTCACTAAAATTTAAAAAAAATCCAGCTACTTTCAGCTCAAAAGAAGAGTCATATTAGATTCGAAATATTAACTCTTTCTTCCTTCACAAATACTGCCAAACATGCTGAGTTTCTCTTGCACTGTCTGCATTTCAGATTACTAACATTTGCATTATTTTGTTTTGATTTGCATATACACACACTGCATCTAGTTCAACTTGACAAAATATGCGGCAGCCATTCTCAGGTTAATTTATTAGGACAATGTTTTGACCAATCAGAGTCAACTTGTCTGGTTTATATTGGAAACCAAACTCAGTAGTTAACTGTCACTCATCATTAGCTGGCGCAATTTCGATGGCAATGGTTTTTCTAATCAGAGTCCAGTTGCCAACCAACACTTCTCTCATGCAGTATAGATATTGCTTTCCTTTTACATTGTTATTTCTTGTGACTTGTCCTGACGAGTGTAATTCAAACATTTTCCACAACTGTGTCTTTCCTCAGCCAAATTTAACTTCGTTTGAAGCATAGTTATTGTAGCTTAGGAAACACGATAGGTTATCATTATTATGACAATGACCATATAATTTGCAGTTGGCCTGTTTTCTGATTGATTTAATGATTAATTGAATTGCCTGGATATCAGAAAGAATGTTCCTCTTCTTTGAAACAGTGCCATGAAATGTTTATCTCTATCATCCTGAGAGGGTAAACGGTGCCTCAGGTTAAAAGTCAGTGGGCAGAGATCAGGAGCAGGAGTTCTGGCATGTGCCACTTCTAAAGCAGGGGTGTGGAATCAACCTGCACTCATTCAACTTTAAACACCGCCAGATGCAAAACCTGAACAAATGAATTTTTGCCTTGGATGCCTCTCTTACCTTGGAGCGTGGGCGATGAGGAGTTTCAAACAAGACAAATCTCCCTTTGCTGCTGCGTAGTGTGCTGGCACTGCGCCATTGTCCGTCTCCATCATGGCGTCGCAGCCCTCCTGTAGCAACCACTGGACCGTATCCAGTTGGCCAAACCGAGCTGCCAGGTGGAGGGCAGATGCGCCGTGGTCATCGCAGGCCTACAGAGGAAATGCTTTGATCAGCATGTTTCACAAGACAGAAAAAAATAAAGCCCACTAGAGTGCCCAGCTCTTCATGTGTGGACTAACATACTACCTCTGCTGATTCTAGAGGGAAATATGTTTGGTTTGAATCCAGTACTGGGTACACGTTGAACTGCAGCTCAATGTTGCTTCTGATTGAGCATTAGTTAATTACCATTTTAATAATTTCTCTTAATCTGAACCCTAACGTAATCTCAGGATCTTCAGATCAGACTAATTTTCTGCAATCTCCAATAAAAACAGCCATTTATGTGGAGAAACTGAGGAACCAGAACAGAATCAGCACCATTCGTGGTTCAAGAACCACTTGGCAAAGTATTCCAGAGTACTCCTTCTGTTAATGTGCCTAAGGACCCTTGGCTATTTACCAATTTTCTGTGTCTTCTGCCGTAAGTGATAATATCTACTGCCCCAGTATCTAACCTTCTTTCATTATACATGTCTTTTCCATCAGACAACAGTGATTTCTGTGGTAGTAGGAACTGCCGATGCTGGAGAATCTGAGACAACAAGGTGTAGAGCTGGATGAACACAGCAGGCCAACCAGCCTCAGAGGAGCAGGAAAGCTGACGTTTCGGGTCTAGAAGAAGTGTGTAGACCAGAAACATCAGCTTTCCTGCTCCTCTGATGCTGCCTGGCCTGCTGTGTTCATCCAGCTCTACACCTTGTTGTCAGTGATTTCTGTGGGCTAGTTTCTACCTCTGTGTGAAACTGTTTTAATCACAAAAATATTGAAGTTTCTCGGAATCTACTGCCTTCACCTTCATGACAATTCTATTCCCTGAATTTTATGCCCCAACAAACTCATTTATCATATATTTGACTAAATTTAAGACTGTGCCCATTTGCTGATTTTGGTTATTTAAATAAAAAACATTCTCAGGATGCAGGTGTCGCTGGCAAAAGTAGGTCAGCATATGAACATAAGAAATAGGAGCAGAAGTAGATAATTCAGCCCCTGAACTCTGCCCTACCATTCTATATGATCATGGCTGATCTGCCCGAGGCCTCATGACTCTTCCATGCCAGCTCCCCACGGCCTTCAACTCCCCATATTCCAAAAATCTGTCTACTTCCTCTATAAATACTTCAGTGATCTAGCCTCCACAACTCTCTGGGGTAGAGAATTTCATTCACTACCCTCTGAAAGAAGAAATTCTCTTGTGTCTTACTTTTAAATGATTGTCCCCTTTTTCCGTAACTACATTCCCTAATTCAAGCATCCCGGAATAGTTAAAACATCTTCTCTATTTCTACCCTGTGAAGTCCCCTCAGAGTCTTGCACATTTCAATTTGATCACCCCTCATCCTTCTAAACTGTCAAGAAAATAGGCCTAAACTGTTTAACCATTCTTGTAAAGTCAAACCATTCATCCCAAAAATCAACCAAATGATTCTCTTTTGAACGGTCTCCAATGCCAGCATATCCTTTCTTAAATACTAGGACCAAAACTGTACACGTGTGGCCTTAACAATAGTTGAACAGTTGTAACAAGACTGCCTCATTATTTTTAAACTCCAACCCCCTCGCAATAAAGGCCAAATTTTCATTTGCCTTCTTAATTACTTGTTGCACCTGCATGCTGACTTTTTGTGTTTAAGGCCTGTCCTCTCATCTGAGTTAAACCACCACCAGTCGTCTCTCTCTCTCTAATGAAACGGCAGCCCTGTAGCAGCCCTTTGGAAAGACTACAGCGACTTTACCTTTTATCCTTGCCTATGTTCTATGATTCTATGATCTGATTTGTCCACTCAGTCTGTAGATTGAAATTACCAATGACTATTCTACTGCTCTTCTTACATGCCTCCACTGTTTCCTGATTTATACTTTTGTCCGACTTTGAGGAAACACTTCACAAGCCTATAAACAACTCCACACTGTGACTTCTTTCCCTTGCTATTTCTGATGGGAATTTCAAGACTAGGGGGCATATTTTAAGGTGATAGGAGAAAGATTTAAAAAAGACATGAGGGACAAATTTTTCACACAGACAGCAGTTCGTATGTGGAATGAACTTCCAGAGGAAGAGGTGGATGAGAGTATAGTTACAACATTTAAAAGGACATTTGGATAAGTACATGAGCAAGAAATGTTTGGAGGGATATGGGCCAAGTGCAGGCAGGTGGGACTGGTCTAGTTTGGGATTATGGTTGGCATGGACTGGTTGGACCAAGGGGTCTGTTTCCATGCTGTATGACTCCATGACTCTATAACTGATTCCACACCACAACCTATTGCACCTGTATCCCTAATGACAGCTACACTGCTACTGTCCTTTATGAACAAAGCTGCCCCACCTCCTTTTTGAGACAACAAGGTGCAGAGCTGGATGAATGCAGCAGGCCAAGCACCATCATAGGAGCAGAAAGGCTGACGTTTCGGGCCTAGACCCTTCATCAGAAATGGGGGAGGGGAAGGGGGTTCTGAAATAAATAGGGAGAGAGGGGGAGGCGGACAGAAGATGGATAGAGGAGAAGATAGGTGGAGAGGAAACAGACAGGTCAAAGAGGCGGGGATGGAGCCAGTAAAGGTGAGTGTAGGTGGGGAGTTAGGGAGGGGATAGGTCAGTCCAGGGAGGACGGACAGGTCAAGGGGGCGGGATGAGGTTAGTAGGTAGGAGATGGGGGTGCGGCTTGAGGTGGGAGGAGGGGATAGGTGGGAGGAAGAACAGGTTAGGGAGGCGGGGACGAGCTGGTCTGGTTTTGGGATGCGGTAGGAGGAGGGGAGATCTTGAAGCTTGTGAAATCCACTGATACCGTTGGGCTGCAGGGCTTCCAAGCGGAATATGAGTTGCTGTTCCTGCAACCTTCGGGTGGCATCGTTGTGGCACTGCAGGAGGCCCAGGATGGACATGTGGTCTGAGGAATGGGAGGGGGAGTTGAAATGGTTCGCGACTGGGAGGTGCAGTTGTTTATTGCGAACTGAGCGTAGGTGTTCTCCAAAGCGGTCCCCGAGCCTCCGCTGGGTTTCCCCGATGTAGAGGAGGCCACAACGGGTACAGCGGATGCAGTATACCACATTGGCAGATGTGCAGGTGAACATCTGCTTGATGTGGAAAGTCTTCTTGGGGCCTGGGATGGGGGTGAGGGAGGAGGTGTGGGGGCAGGTGTAGCACTTCCTGCAGTTGCAGGGAAAAGTGCCGGGTGTGGTGGGGCTGGAGGGGAGTGTGGAGCGGACAAGGGAGTCACGGAGAGAGTGGTCCCTCTGAAAAGCAGATAAGGGTGGGGAGGGCCACCTCCTTTTTGCTTATTTTTGTGCCTTTATACCCTAAGTACCGTTTAATATTGCTCACTTCTGGTCACCCTGCAACCACATCCCTGTACTAGCTAGCAATGGCATATATTTTCCATTTGTAGTAGGCAGTGAGCTGCTGTAGTGTAGGGTCACCCATACTGCCATTATGACCATGGGGAATTTCTGCAAGTCTTTAGGCTGTTGAGTACTTCAATCAGCACTGAGTGTTTCAGTGTTGTTATTTTCTAATCCAGCTCTTCAGGGATGTTACGATACATGGCTGGAACAGGTGGGATTTGAACTCATTCCTCCTAGCTCAGAGGTAGGGACACAAGCACTGCAGCACAACAGCCATTGAATGAAGGTAAAACATTCCCAGCTTCTGCTCCCTTTCTTAAAGGTCAGTGCTTAATCCAGGGCTATCCCTGCAGTGGACCCTCTCTCATTACACCGGGACCAAAACTGTACCCAGTCCTCGCTCTGAGGCTGAACCACCTAAGATTATTTATTTTGGCCTAATCTTGCTGTTGAAGGGATTAACAACCAATGTCTCCAAATTCTTTCCTGTGACCTCTGGAGAGGTCAATTTACACTAGCCCAATCTTCACGGAAAACAGAACAATTTACCATTGGTCAGCCCAGCTCTCCAACACTGTTTTATGTTCCTGGTCCGTTCCAGGCCCCTCTCAGTTTGATGAACTGTCTGAAGACTAGTCATGTTTCTGTCTTGAATTTGAGGGTATTAGGAAGCAGTGGAAGGACCACTCCTGATTCCTGATGGCCCTCCAGATCTACTAATGGTTGTGTAAGGCTGGTTAAACCTCCACCAAGAACTTCACAGCATGTTCCCTGCTGTAAAACCAGGCTTGGCTCTGTCTCTCAGGCCCAAATCCTATCTCTTCACCCAGCCCTTCCAAACGCCAGCCAATCTGGCCTGATCATTCACAAGGTCTTTCCTTTGATTTCTGTCACATCATTTTGTGTAAAATCCACAGACCCCAGTCCCTATTTCTGAACATGTCCTTCCTTGAACGAGCTTTTTGTGTCGTCGTTGCTTGAACATACCTCAATAACACACGAATTTCCCAAGACTGGGAACTTAACACGGTTTTTCTCTCCACAAATGTTTTCAGACCTGCTGAGTTTCTCCAACATTCTTGGGTTTATATCCCATTAAAGCTTATGTGCAATGCCTGACCCACATTAAATCCCTAAATAGCTGCCTCAGCAGTACTCTACAGTTCCCTTACATAGGGAGCAGCTCCAAGTAAATCTAATTTCTAAATAAAATTTACAATTCCTATATATCTCCTATACCAGTGATAAACGTTGCCTTACTATAAGATACAGCTCCTGAGGGTCTAGTTCCTATATATAACTTACAATTCCTGTATATCTCCTGTACCAGTGATAAACGTTGCCTTATTACAAGATACAGCTCCTGAGGGTCTAGTTCCTATATATAATTTACAATTCCCGTATATCTCCTATACCAGTGATAAACGTTGCCTTATTATAAGATACAGCTCCTGAGGGTCTAGTTCCTATATATAATTTACAATTCCCGTATATCTCCTATACCAGTGATAAACGTTGCCTTATTATAAGATACAGCTCCTGAGGGTCTAGTTCCTATATACAGCTTACAATTCCCGTATATCTCCTATACCAGTGATAAACGATGCCTCATATCGGGTATAGCTCCGGTAGGTCTAGTTCCTGCACAGAGTCCTATAACAGGCTGGTCCATTCCCTGTTTAGTGTCTCTGAGCCTCTCTACCTGTTACTTCCTGACTGTAATTGCCTGGGAGAAGTGAGTAACTAACTGCTGCAGTGTTTAGTCGCGGTGCCTGGAGTCACCTACACGGATGTCACAGCCAGCGACCCGGGTCAGCCACTGCAGCGCCTCGATGTTCCCGGTGGCAGCGGCATCGTGGCAGGGAGTCGCTCCGTTTCTCGCTCGCTTGTTCGCCGGCAGCTTCGCCTGGGTGACGAGGAATTTCAGACAGTCCAACCTGCCCGCCCTGGCGGCGTGGTGGACCGGGCTGGCTCCCAGCTGATCCTCGATGCTCTCGTTCAGCTTACCGCTGGCCTCCAGGCTGTTTAGTGCCTCCAGGTCTCCATCCCTCGCAGCGAGCAGGCAGCGCTGAGAAACCATGGCTGGGGAACAACATGAAACGATTTGTCCTTGTGCTGGCTCCTGGTCCCCCTGAGTAAGGGGAGGGTCCTGTCAGGGCTCGGGACACTGGCCGTTCCGTGACTGGATCGGGTGCGATCGAGTTCTCAGGTTAAAGTGCTATGTTCATTCAGCTCGCTGTAAAACTTATGACACTAACATGAGCCCAACCCCTGCCCTTTGTGAATACGCGTCAGCCTTCCTGACCAACTCAAAGCGTCATGTTCCATTTCTCTATCGGATCCATTTTCTGGGATGCACCCAATTTGTCTTCCCTCTGTAATATCACCTTGATGTTCCCTCCTCCCTCTGCTGTCTCCTCTAACAGGCTGTTAACCTGTCACTCTGAGAGCAGACGGCAGGCTCAACAAGAGGGGGGTGCATCGACTGCTGGCTCTAGGGCAGAGCAACCGCAGAGAATGATACCGAAACTCGGCAACTATGGTAGAATCTGTGGAGAGAGAGAGAAACAGAGTTAACGCTTCCAGTCTGGAATAGTTTGCTGAGTTTCTTTTATGTTTCAGATGTGCAGCATCCGCAATATTTTGTGCTTGTTTGACTATAGAATATTGGGAAGGGATACCAGACTCTTCTTAAACTGCATCTTTCAAATAAAAATCATTGTGGCTTACAGCCATCTCTGTCTGGGCTAGTGTTTCTCACTCACTGTTAATTGCCCTGAAAAATGTGGTGAACTGCCTTCTTGAACTCTTGCAATCCATGTGGTATGGGTACATTTTCACTTCAGGGGAGGGGAGTTCCAGCATATTGACCCAAGTTGTGCTGAATAAACAGTGATACAGGTCTGGGTGCTCAGTGGCTTGGAGAGGGACTTGCAAGAGGTGGTGTTACTGTGTAGCTGCCACTCTTATACATGGAGTTGGCAGAGATTGTGGGTTTAGAAGATGCTGCCTCAGGAGCCTTGGTGAGTTGCTGCGGTGCATTTTGTAGATGGAAAGTACTGTCAATCGGTGATGGAGGGAGTGAATGTTCATGGATGTGGGGAAATCAAACGGGTTACTTTGTCCTGGATGGTTTCAAACTTCCTGAACATTGTTGCAAGTGGAAAGTATTCTATTATGCTCCTAATTTGTGCCTTGTGGAGGGTTGCCAAGTGGAAAGGAGCCATGAGGTGAGTTACATACTGTAGAATTCCTAGACTCTGACCTGTCATTGTAGCCACAGCATTTATATGGTTCAGTTTCTGATCAATAGTAACCCCCAGGATGTTGATAGTACGGCATACAATGATGGTAATGTAATTGAATGTCAAAGGCAAATGCTCAGATTGTCTCTTGTTGAACATGGTCACTGTCTGGCATTTGTCTGACATGAATGTTACTTACCGCTTATCAGCTCCATTCTGAACGATTACTGCATCTTTGCTACATATAGACACGATCTGCTTCAGTATCTGAGAAATCAGAATTCTTTTTTAATTCATGTGTAACATCAAATCCCAGATGATGCTTCCCAATTTGTTATGGTTTGAGAGAGGAAACCCCAGGTGTGGAGGGATGAAATTCTCCTTGTCTTTATTCACCCATCTTCTCAGTTGGTTACAAGTGAATTTAAAAATGGATCCCTTTCCTGTGGATACTTTTCTCTTAAACCCAAATAAATATGCGTTTTAAAGGACCCCATTTAACCAGGCTTTCTTGAGCTAACAAAGATTGAGTTTATTAAATACTAAGCCCAGAGTCAGAGAGCCATATAGCACAGAAACAGATCCCTTAGTTTAACCAGTCCATGCCACCCATAATCCCAAACTAAACTAATGCTACCTTCCTGCACTTGGACCATTTCCCTCCAAACATTTCATAGTCACCTACTTACCTAAATGTTTTTTTAAATACTGTAACTGTACCCACAACCACCACTTCCTCTGGATGTTTATTCCACACATGAACCACGCTCTGTGTCTTTTTAAAATCTTTTTCCTCTCACCTTAAAAATATGTCCCCTTGTCTTGAAATCCCCCACCCTAGAGAAAAGACACCAGCCATTCACCTTATCTATACCCCTCATGATTTTATAAACCTCGATAAGGTCACCCCTCAATCTCCTGTGCTCCGGTGGAAAAAGGTCCCAGCCTATCCAGCCTCTCCTTTAACTCAAACCCTCCATTCCCAGCATCATCCTGGTAAATCTCTTTTGAACCCTTTCCAGCGAAATAATATCCTTGCTATAACAGGGAGACTAGAACGGAACACTAATCCAAAGGATAAAAGTTTAAAAAAATACAGATCAGTCTTTGAATTCTTTGCAAAGTGTGGATAGTTAAATGGTGCCACTGTTGCAGAGGATATTATAGGTAGCATTGAGATTGGAAGTTGAAGAGTCAGTTTCGTAATCCTTAGTTTTGCAGATTGGTTAAGATTTTGTCGTTCGGATTCCTTTGGAACATGATTGAATTCCAGCATTCAGGGTAAGAGAGTGTCCTTTACTTGTCATGTTTCCTTTTGTTGGTTTTCAGCACTCAGAGTCAGAGAGGGTTTTCTTTTACCTGCAACACAGGGGTGACTAGGGGATGGTTCTTTCACTGCGATCTTCACAGCATCCCAGTTCTTGAACCCAGACTGGTACGTACAAGAGTGAGAAAATGATAATTCACTGGAGGTTGCATGCTATTGAGCAGGATTCATCAACCCCTCATTATCTTAATGACATTGGCTGCATCTGTGGGAAACTGTGCATGCAGTTCCAGACCCAGTATGTTATCAAGTAAAATGCAGTGACGATGTGCACAAAGAAGAAGTGTTATTTTGAAACATGGCTCTTGATGGGATGGAGGGGACAGAGTGAGGTCCAGGGACTAGACAGTGAGGGTCCAGTTCTGGGAAACAGGGGCCAGAGTTGGGGGAGAGAGTGTGCACACTGGACCTGAGAGGAGGAGGAACAGAGTGTGAGGAGGACTGGAGGGACAGTGGGTGGAGAGAATGAGGACCAGGAACCTAGGGGTTGTGGGAAAGAGCAAGGGTGTGGGGAGGGTCAGGTCAAGGAGGCCCCCATCTGTTCACCCTCCCATATCACCCTCCCCTTCCTTCTCCTCCCTGCTGCATCTGGCTTTCCCATGCCACATCTCACCTGTTTAAATACACTTGCACAAATTTAAGCAGTATACAGCTGGTGTCAGCAAATGCAGCCCTTAAGTGATTATGGTCCAGTCTGTGTTTACTTGCTTCTTTTCCCCTTTTAAGGTACTATTGTTTAAATTTCTCATCGCATCCATAGGTGTGGCAATGTGTGGATCTGTTTCTCCAGACAGTCACTTACCATACAACTGTAGCTGTTGTGGCTACATCAGCCCTCACGAGGCCAATTCCCTTGAGAAGATTCCCTTGAGAAGCTGAATTACTGCCTTGAACTGCTGCAGTCCAAGTGGTGTAGGCACACACAATCTGTAGTGAACATCCCCACTTCTAATCTTAAGATAGAGGGAAGGGTGTTGAGGAAGCAACTGAACTTGGTTGGGTCTCAGATACTACTCTGAGGAACTCCAGCAGAGATTTCCTAGGGCCGATGACAGACCTCTAGGAACTGCAACCATCTTCCCTTCAGCTAGGCACGATTCCAACCAGTAGAATTATCCCCATGATTCATGTTGATTTCAAGTTTCTGAGAGCTCCTTGTTGCCTTTCTCGCAGTCAAATGGTGCAATGTTGTTGAATGCAGTCACTCTTCCTATGTTGAATACCTTCAGGGTAGCACGGTGGCTCAGTGGTTAGCACTGCAGCCTCACAGTGCCAGTGACACAGGCTCGATTCCACTCTCGGGTGACTGTCTGCGTGGAGTTTGCACATTCTCCCTGTGTCTGCGTGGGTTTCCTGTGGGTTCTCTGGTTTCCTTCCACAGTCCAAAGATGTGCAGGTTAAGTGGATTGGCCATGCTAAGTTGCCTATAGTATCCAGGGATGTGTAAGTTTGGTGGGTTAGACATGGAAAATGATGGGTTTACAGAACAGGGTAGGAGAATGGGTCTGGGTGGGATGCTCCCTGGAGGGGCAGTTTGGGCTGATTGGCCTGTTTTCACACTGTAGGGATTATATGATTACTCTCTTTTGTCAATATTTCAACTAAGGCTGTAAGATGGTCAGCAGCCTAGTATTCCAGGCAAAACCCAAGCTGAGCATCATTGAGGAACATTGAGGTCTGAATACTACTCAGTAGCACTGTCAGCAACACCTTTCATCACTTTGCAATTAAGTGTAATTGGCTGGAGTGGATTTGTCATCCTTTTCATGTATAGGATTTACCTGGGCAATTTTCCACATTGTCAGGTAGATGCCAGTGTTGTAACTGTGTCAGAAGTTCTTGGCTAGGTGAGTGCAGCTAATTTTGGAGCACACAGCTTTAGTGCTACAGCGAGGATGTTGTCCAGTCCCATAGCTTTAACTGTGTTGAATACCTTCAGGCATTTTTTGATATCACAGGGAGTGAACCATAATGGCTGAAAGCTGACATCTGTGATGTTAGAGTTCACAGGAGGAGGCTGAGATGGGTTAACTGTTGTAGTTGCAATTTCCTCAGTTTTGTCTTTACGCTGATGTTGTAGGCTCGTGGATCACTCAGGAAGGAGATGTTTGTGGAGCCTAAGATCTGGTATAATGAAGAACAAATAATGGGCTGTAATGATCATGTCTGTTCTCAGTCATTTTTATGTCATACTTGCAGAAGCAGCATGATGACTGGAGATAGCTACGAACCCACTGATCTTGGTGAATGTTTCCATGTAGGACATAGGAAAAATACTGACATTTGGTACCAGAGTCCAGAACAAATTTCATCAGCTCACTCCCAGGCTAGATACAGAGTAAAGATCCTCTAAACTGTCCGTTTCACAACTCCATGGTACATCAATATGAGATATTTCCATTTTCCAAATACATTATGTCTGAAATTATTGATGCTGGTTTAGAGACAATCTTTTTTAATGTTGACTCATGTCTACCAGAAACCAGACTGACTGCTTGAAGAACTGATTGTTATCCATCAATTTAAACTGGATTTGAATGCTAGTCTGAACATCTGCAAAGAGAGTGTCTGACCCACTG